AGCTTCATAGGGGAAAGTCCTTAAATATTGATCAAAATCACCAAAGCATCTCCACTATTCGCAAATGCTATATATTCATTTTTTTATTTGAGAAATTCTTCTTCTTTTTCAGCAATGCCCACAAGGAGTGAATTTACATAAATTATATTTGCATATTACAGATAAATCCTCAAAATTATTACCTTGAAGATTCATAGCAGACTTGGAAATAAAATCATATTTAATAATAATTGTAACTTCCCATATTAATATCTTAATTGACTGCCAGTCTGAACTGATAGAAGGAGAGGGCAGTCATTATCTACAAGTGCAACATGGGTTATCTTTCCTTTCCTGTAAATGTAGATTATTAACAATAATGAATAACAAGTAGATTATTAATAATAATCATATTTTGTCTTAGTGAGAAGGGGAAAATGGACAATTACTGTCTTTTGGTTAGGCATCTGCTGGGTGCGCTGAGACCACCACCTATCATGCTGACCAATATTGTATCATAGTTCCCTGGTGCTTTCTTGTTTCCTGTATCCACCTGTCTTATACTCAAACTTAGAACTCTTTGGGGCAAGGGCCATCTTTTTGTTCTGTGTTTGTACAATGCTTAGCACAATGGGGTGCTGGTCCAAAGGGGGCTGTTAGGTGCTAATGCAATACAAATAATAATAACTTAGGCCTGAATTTTCAGAGGTACACCTCTACCCCGATATAACACGGTCCTCAGGAACCAAAAAATCTTACCGCGTTATAGGTGAAACCGTGTTATATTGAACTTGCTTTGATCCGCCGGAGTGCGCAGCCCCGCCCCCCCGGAGCGCTGCTTTACCACGTTATATCCAAATTTGTGTTATATTAGGGTTACCATCCGTCCGGGTTTCCCCGGACATGTCCGGCTTTTTCAGCCTTAAATGGCCGTCAGGGGGGGGATTTCTAATGAAGTAGAAATGTCCGGGATTTCCCCTCCTGCGGAGTGCGGCGTGGCTGATTGGACGCCTGGCCTGATTGAAAGCCGCTCGCAGCCACTAGGGCCTCTAGCAGCCAGAGTCCCCTCCCCCGCTCCCTCCTCCCCCACAGAGCAGCGAGGAAGTGTTTGAGTCCACGTGGAGCCTGCAGCTCTCCCTCTGCCAGGTGAGGGTGGAGGTGTGTGTGTGTGTGTAGAGGCTGGAGGGGGGGTGCAGGGGCCGGGGGGGGGGGGGGGGGGGGGGGGG